AAAAGTAGTAAGGTTGACTATGGTGAACTTATCTGAATGCACTTAATTTTTAATGAGAGATGGCAAAAGAGAGGGAGAAAGGTAGAAACTTTGTTTGTTCATATCTTTAGTGAATGCAACAAAGGAGCGATGAACACTAGGGGCCATCATCATCAGTGAGATGTGAATCTTTATCAAGATCTTTTTCATTAAACTGTTATTTATTTTTTTGCAAAGAGAAACAAATGCAAAAACTAACAAGGCACCAAGGGGTTGATGCTCATTTACAAAAGAATTGATTTACAAATTAGTCTCTGAAAAGAGTGGATGACCCTTGAAAAAAGGGGATCTGAAACTAATGGTATCCAATCATTGGAAAGGAGGAATAGATTCCATTACAAGGCTTCCTATTCTTTCTTTCCAGATGAGGCAAAAGTTCGATAATAGAGTAAGGGCAAGATTTTTCTGCCAATTAATCTCAGTTGAACTTGGTGCCAAGCCCAAAGCTTTGAACAAGCGAAGCTCTCAATTGCCTGTTTCAGTTTCAAGAACTTCAGAGCTTTGTTGCAAAACTGAGGAGCCATCAGACATTAACTATGTTGCATGGAATGATTACTTATCGTGCCATACAAGTCAACATGACTAAATCCTTGTATCAGTATGAAATATGTATCCGTGCTTGGCACTTGATCCACTAATCCTCATCTTTGTTCTATGAATTGAATGGAATTATAGGATTTTTTTACTATTCTTTGTTGAGCCAAGATTTGTTGGACATGATTTCATTCTTAGCCACCCTATGGGCCAAAGTCCATGGGAATTTTTTTTGGAAATAAAAAGTATACCAGTTGTATTAAATCAATGGCACCAAGGGGGTGCCACCCATATACTAAATAAATGCCCGTGGGAAGCTTTACAATATTGCTATCTTTATGCTTCACAGAAACTTGGATGTAATAATTCTTGAGCCTCAGTGGGTTTGCTTGTTACTTTTTGGCATGTTTAGTTTTCTCTCAAAAGATACTAGGAGGATATATTCTCTGCCTATGTTATTATATAATTTTCTTTTTGAAGAATACTTCCTATTCTATAAAGGAAATATTGATATAGAATGCCTAATGGTAGAACCATAATTATCTTACAATGTAGAGAAATAATAGAAAATTCAAGAAAGACAATAGAAGAATAGATATATAGAGAAAAAAAAGGGATAAAACGGAAAACATTTGAGAAAGAAAAAAGAATATTAGGCAAACATTAAGAACAAAAGGGACAAGGAAAGTACTAAAGAGATACGTTAAATAAATTTACTAGAAATAATCAATTCCAAGCTGAGCATAAATTTTTTATTAGAACTGTATATAGGTTCTAACCTTGACTAAAATTTGAAGAAACTAATAGAAGAACAAATCCAAAATTTCTAAAAGTTCTTAAATAATTAAATACAAATCTCCTACCATATCCTAAATAGAAAAATCATAACAAATCTTTTAAAGAAGTCTTACATTTATTTAGGATTAGATTGTTTTGCAGTATATATCATGTTATGCCAATGATGATGGGTGTTTACTAAATTGTTGAGAGAGAAAAAGGAGGACAATGGTGGGTAATACAGGAAAGAGATCAAGTAAAAATAGGCAAAAGGAAAGAAATAGAGAAGGAAAGAAGTGAGGGTTTTTCCATCACCATCGAGGAGAGAGAGAAAGAAATAGAGGAGGAAAGAAGCTATATATCTCCATCATATCACAAAATAGAGAACTTTTGTCTATTGTTCCACATGGTATCAAAAAATTCAATGTACTGTGATGCTAGCCAAAAGAGTTCATAGCACTAGTAGATCTGGCAAACCGTGCTTGCTGAAATTGCTTCAATTGATCGAGTGTCTTCTTTAAGTGATAAATGTTTATGCAATTTCCTCAGTGTCAACACATGGGGGGATTTTATTGTAAACATCTTCTAAATCCCGTGCAAAAAGACATTCTTGACACGAGCTGTTTTCTTTGCTGAAAAGAGGATCATAATTTGTGTTCATTTTTGCAATTGGAGTATACGTTTCTTGGTAGCTGACCCCATAGGTTTAATTAAACCTTTCAGCGGACCCTAAATTTCTGAATTATTGCATCAATTTTGTTTTTCATTTTGGACACCCATTTGCAATCCACTTGTCTCCTAAGATCAAAAGTTTTGTAAGTCTTGGTTTTCTAGATTACAAAGAATGAACACCCAATTATGATCGACAAAGCAGAAGAGCTGAAGTTGTCTTACTGACTTCAGGAGTGTGTTTGACTAGAGAACACAGCAGTGCTAGTGGAGAAGTGAGACATAAGTGATTGGAGGTTGGAGTTTGTCTATATAGGAGGAGATTGGCAAAACTTTGAGGAACAAATCTGGGGTGTCTTTATGGTTTATTTCAATTTAATTAAATTTTTGAGTTTATTTTTGAATTTTAAGGGAGATCATGGGCATAACAGAGAGAAAAAGAGGAGAAAGAGTGGGTTAGTTCAGGTTTCACCAAATACCAATCAGGTTGATAATGATATTGTTTTGATGAACAAGCTTGGATTTATTAGATTTATAATCAAGTCAGGTTCGAGTTTCTTAAAGCCTGTCCCAAACCCATCTAGGTGCCATCTCTAGCCTGGATAGGATGACACTGGAAGACAGCTAGAATTAGTCGCAGTTATGGTACTAGCCTTTTGGAAGTGGATTAGTAAGAACTGGAGCTCCTTGTTCAATCTATTGTTGTTTAGGCTTTGCAATGGTTAGGCCTGGAGCTTTTGGCTGGATCAGCCGTGCGGTGAAAGACCTCTAGAAGACTCCCAGTATTTTTGGTATTTCTAGGGATGAAATGCTTTGGTTTAGGAAACTATTGGAAATGATTATATGAAAATGACTATGAAAATACCATAGTAGTAAGTAGTGTATGATTTGATATTAATTCTCTTTCAATTAAATTAACAAAACTTTCTTTTTTCTTTAACTGTGTTAGGTCAGTCAAGATAGTAGACTACCTGCTGAGTTTGAAATTTCTGATTATTGTTATCAATGTGATTCGGGCAAGAAGAATGTTCTTGCTGTTCAAGTTTATAGATGGAGTGATGGGACTTACCTTGAAGATCAAGATCATTGGTGGTTGTCTGGTATTCATCGGGATGTGCTTCTTTTAGCAAAGCCACAGGTATGTTTAGTTTTGGCAGCATGTGATTCTTCTTTTGTTATTGTTAGACAATTAGTTGGGTGATCAATTTTTCAAAAGTTAAACTAATAAGGTAATGCTCAATGATGGCCAATAGAAGAGTAAATAATGAGGGTTGAGGATCTTAAGGTTTAAAACATGATAATGTGTTTGGATGTATCTAACAGCTTAACAATTGGAAAGGGCGAACTTTACTGGTTATATTTTAACCATTACAATTGATTAATGAGCTATGCTTGGAACTGTTAATCATAGCTAGGAAATTCTTAAGATTTATGGATCTGGTGCAATTGCAAATATTCAGGTTTATACAGTGTCTTATAGTTAAGCATGTTAAGAGAAAATGAATTTGTTTCGTGGCCTCTTCTAATTATCGAGGAAAAATTCTTGAAAGTGTGATGAGTAATGAGTAGGGCATTTTGTCTCAATGGTTGTTTCCTGGGCTTTCTACAATGGAGGTTTAGGTTCAACTTGTCTTGATTTCCTTTAAATCAGTTACTAAAAATAAAAAGAAGTTCATCAACAACTATAAAAAGAAGAAGTTGCTTAAGAAGTTGGATTAAGTATCATTGGTAGAGTCTTGTAGGACAGGATTAGAAAGATGCAAGAGTCAGACCTCTTTACCATCTGTTGTTTGGTAAAGTAGAGGGTGACTTCCCCATTGATGGAATGTGCACAATGCATTATAACCAATCCAATTAGTGGATAGAGTTAAATAATATGAACATAAGGTGTGCCCAAGTTATGATGATTTATGATGGTGGAGCTTTGGATGAATTACCAATCAAATAGGCGTCTCTATTGTATTAGTATAGCTTTTTCCATATTTCCTTTTCTTTTGGATCGTCCTCTTGTTTGATAAAAAAGAAGGATGTGGCCAAGTTGCTATTAAATAGAAGAGGCTAGTATTATAAGCTAAAAATAATTTCTAACGGATTATGACCAGCATATGTGATCATGGCTGTTGTTACAGGACCATTGGATTATGGTGTTTTCTTAGTTTAGGTATATCTCTGAAATCACAAATCATGGAGGGAGATGATTATACTCAGTTGAGAATCTATTTCTACTGTAGAGAAGAATAGTGTGACTCAAGATGAAAGGGAGGATGGGGGAGTTAAAATTATTTGAATTCCTGAAAATCTAAGTCTTTCCAACTCTCAATGGATACACAAGGAGGGAATGGATGTGACAAAATATTCTGGTGGAGGTAGGTCGACAGTGTGGCAGTAGTAAACCAGCAAGGATTTCCTACTAGTTTATTTTTCCCACTAAATTATTTCTTCCCTCTTCTTGTGCTACTCTGGAATTTTGATACCATGCTCGGAACATATGCAACACCTGGCCTTGCATGAACAAGATAAATAAGTTTTCCTACCGGTCGCATATACATCTCTCTTTCTTTACAAGATATTCATTTGCCTCTATGAGTTTATGATTTTGCTCAACTGGTGTATAAAACGTGCTAATTTCCCTATCTTGCTTAGGAGATCGGGACATACTTTTGCTCTTAAATAAACATGTCTTCCCCAACTAAGCTACTTTTGTTCCTAGAAAATGCTGCTGTCTCCCAAGTTCTTTTGTCTTGAATTCTCTAACTTGATATCTTTCTATACTTTATTCTCTTTTTCATAATTTCTTTCTCAATTATGTCACTAACATATGCTAAGATAGATGTGACTCTCCTTGAATCTGAGTGCTTTATGTGGAAAAATAATTGTTGGGTATACAAGTAAATAGCAACAATAAAATGAAACATTATTATTTACAAAGATTACAAAGATACAAGGTATAATAATTATAAAGATTACAAAGATCTGGGGTATATTAGTAACATACCCTTTACTCTAATGAAGTCTTTAAGCTAGTGAATGGATATTATCCATTTCTAGCTTGACAATAATCGTATGAAATACATAATAACTTAATCGTTTAGTCAAAATATTGACAAGTTGTGAAGTGGTTGGCACGTATAGAGTACAAATTTTCCCACTATCCACCTTCTGTTTAATGTGCCTGTCTACTTCAATGGACTTAGTTATGTCATATTGTAATCAATGCTTGTCGCTAAGGTATTATCACATTAGAGTCTCATAGGTCCATCCTATTGAATCTTTTAAAATCATCTTCAACTACAAAAGTTCACACATGCCCGGGGCCGTAGCCCTAAACTTTGATTTTGTATTAGATTGAATTATTACATTTTGTTTCTTATTTTTCAAAGTTACTAGATTATCTCCAAGAAATGTACAATACCCAAAGATAGATCTCCTGTCAGCTGATGATTCAACATAGTCCTTGTTAGTGTATGCTTCAAGAAGCAGATTATTGTTTCTTTTGAAAATAATTCCTTTTTGTAGAGTATTTTTCAAATAATGAAGTATTCTATAGGCTACTTGTAGGTGCACATTTTTATGTTTGTGCATGAATTGACTTTCTATTCTAACATCGTATGTATTTGAAATTTTCCTACCTATATTACGAATCTTTTAGATAAACCCTTTAGAGAATTAGAGGGTGTAGTATACTACGATTTGTAATTTATCTGCCGATCTATTCAATATTGGAATCAAATTTGAATTGAATTCTTTATGGTTAAAGAATCTTTTTTTAGTTGTTCTGAAACAATTAAGAGATTCTCTATAAGAAATACGAGGTTCTGTCAAATGGGAGAAAAGTTGAATGAGAATAAAAAGCCCCCGAATCAAATCCCGTACATTGTGCCCTTTTACTTAACCTTAACGTCGGCAAAAGGGAGCAAAGTTGTACAATGTCTGGCCTGGTATGTAACTAGTAAGAAAGTTGATATACTTGTCAAATGCAAGGCCAAACATGTTTATGCAGTGAGTGTAGTAAATAAATTCATTTACAAGTTTAGAGAAGTGAATTTGCAAGCTACCTATAGCATACTCCACTACTGGAAGGGTACTCCAAGAAAGGAAATTATGTTCAAGAAAAATAATAAGCTACTCTTTGAAGCATATACTGATGCTGAATATGCAGATTCATTAGTTGATAGAAGGTTTACATATTTCTTAGAGGAAACCTAATGACTTGGAGTAGTAAAAAAGTCAGAGTTTAGAGCTATGATCCAAAGGGGTGTGTGAACTCTTATGGTAATTTTGAAAGACTTGAAGATCTAGTGGATGGACCTATGAGACTCTATTATGATAATACATTAACAATTAGCATTCTCAACAACCCTATACAACATGATATGAAGAAATATATTTTTCTTAAAATGAAGAGAGAAGACAAGATGAAACATATTGAAGTTGATTGATAGTTTTTTAAGGAAAAGCTGGATCGCAAATTGATATACACATTGTACATGTTTGCTACTTTGCAATTTGCAGATGTATTGACTAACGCGTTATGTGATACTAGGTTTCAGACTATTATTGGCAAATTGCGATAGATAATATCTATTCACCAATTTAAGAGCGAGTGTTGGATAGCGTATTTGTATGGTAAGTAGAATAAAGGGTTTATTACACAATAGAAAACTTGGTTAAGCAAAACTCATAATCGTGGCAATCTGTGGTGTACCTATTGCAAGAAAGCGTGCCACACTCAGGAATGATGTTGAAAGTTACATGAAAAACCTCCAAGTTGGAAATAGGGCAGAAGGGAGAACATCAAAGAAACAATAGGCAGACCATATTACTGTGATATGACCAGATGACCTAAAACCAGAGGTAACAGGAGGATTGAACAATGAAGAAATTGAGAGGGTGAGATCCTTTATCAGCTGTCTGGACAAGCCTTCAAGTACATGCTCATTGGCATATTTAGGTATGTTTTCATTTCCCATTGGTTTAAATGTCTCTAGTTCAGCCATCGCTAACTCCTAAATCGTGAACTCAGGAGCTACTGACTACATGATCTATTGATCCAATAACTTCACCTATTTCCCATGCCCAAGTAACAAGAAAATTGCTATAGTTGATAGCTCATTGACCACTTTAGCAAGAAAAGATGTCCAAGTCACTCATTTCTAAGTTAGAAAAAAGCCTTGTATGTTCATAAGTTGTCCACAAATCTTATCTCCACTCAAAAACTCACTCAAGACTTATGTTGCAATGTTGTTTTTCATGGTGGCCATTGTGTATTTTAGGATAAGGATTCGGGAAAGGTGATTTGACGTGCTAGAGAATAGATGAGTTTTACTACCTTGACACGCTGGGCCAATCAAGCATTCTCAAGATAAAGTTTCCTCAGTCTTTTGTTTTTGACTCTTTTCATCTAATAAGGAGAAAGTTTGGCTCCATCATCGTCGGCTAGGACATCAATTGTTAGAATTGTTAAAAGTTTGTTTTTCGTCTTTATTTAGAAGTTTAGATGTCGAACAATTTAATTTTAAAGTTTTTAAACATAATATTGTACCCTTTCTTAGTAGTAATGAAAGAAGTTTTATTTATTTTTATTTGATTTATAGTAATATTCAGTGACTATCTACTACTCCTAATGCCACACCACAAAATCTAGATTGTGATTTGGAATGTAACTAAACAAATATACTATCAAGTAAGACAAAAATATGACAAAAGGCAAAACCAACAATTAATATAATGACTAGACAGACAAAGAAACACCACTTACAAAGTGTTTACAAACTAGGATATAAACACATTATGGCATGAATCCATTCATTTCTTTACAAAAGTATCACATACAAGGCTTAACCTTCCTACAATGGTCTCCAAAGGAAAAAAACACAACTCACAAAATTTTAGAGACCTTAGAGTTTTCTTGCATTAGGCAACTCTATTAACAACTGAAGACTCTGCATCGTAGACTTCTCTTCAAGTCCTAACAATAATTGGTTTGAAATGGTTATGTAGGTTAGGTGATTATAAATATGCTTATACAAATGAGATTATTCATATACCTA